GCCATCACTTACAGAATTAAGACCCAGCTCCTTGCCTGACCTAAAAAGCTTTTGTGGGCCCATCCCACCCACCTCACCCTTCAGCACCACCCCTAAGCAATATCAAACCATTTTTGTTTGTCTGGACACATGACACTCTCTCCCACCAGTGTGCCTTTGTTTAGCTTGGTCCTTCTGCCCGGAACACTCTCCGCCTCCTCTTGTGCCTGACCAACTCCCTCAAGCCTCAGAACTAAAGTCACCTTCTCCAGGAAGCCTTCCTGATCTCACCTCCCTGCAAAATCTCAGTGGAGTATTTTTCTGTGTTCCCATACCCCCAGTACTTGAATCTGTCATGGTGAACGTCACCTTATATTGTTATTATCTGCTAATATGTCTTTTTCTGTCACCAGAAACAGCTTTGGCAGGCAGAGCCCATCACTTCTGAATGGGAGCTCAGTAAAGGATAAGGCTCCACAAGAGCATAGGGTTGAGGGTATGTGAGTGAGACAGAGGCTTAAGATGAGAGGTGGTGTATGGATGGATCCTAATGAATATTCATTACAGTGGCGGGACCAGGATGGAATAGGGATGAGGACTCAGGTGGAATGCGTTAGGGACAGGGGCGGGTGGAGAGAACTCACCATGACCCAGAGAGTGATGATCTTGGTTCTGGGGTGGAATCTAGTCTTGGAGGAACTGGATTCAGTAAGAGAGCCCTGAGTTCAGTTGGTGATGGTGGGAGGATAGGGAGCGGGGCCTCAGTGTGGAAAACGAGGAAGTGGGTAGGGCAGGACCCTCTCAGATCACACGCTGTCCCAGGAGGTGGATCTATTCCTGTGGCTTCCTGGGACCTGCACGTTCAGCAAGTCCTGGGCATCTGGGCATGTCCCACTGGGAGGACCCAGGATCTTTTCTGAAACAGAGTCTCTCTTTGTCACCCAAGCTGGAGTACAATGGCAAGATCTTGGCTCACTGCAACCTCCACCTCCAGGGCTCAAGCAATTCTCCTGCATCAGCTTCCCAAGCAGCTGGGATTACAGGTGCACACCACCAGGCCAAGCTAATTTTTGTATTTTTAGTAGAGATGGGGTTTCACCATGTTGGGCAGGCTGGTGTCAAACTCCTGACCTCAGGTGATCCGCCCGCCTCGGCCTCCCAAAGTGCTGGGATTACAGGCGTGAGCCACCGCGCCCGGCTGTACGTAGGATTCTTTAGCTCAACTGCGAGCTTAGTTTAGATCCTCACTTCTTCTTACCTGGACTGTTTGCCTCCCCCCCAAGCCACCTCCCCCACCCTCTAGGCAGCTGGGCTCTGGGCTCCCTGATGAAAGCCTCAGTGGCTCCTCACCAGCTGGAGCTGGAGTCACGCCAAGTCCAAACTCCTCAGCCTGGAGGATGCGAAGAGCTTAATGACCCGACCTCTCCCCTGCAGTATCTTCTCCCCTGCAGTATCTTCTCCCCAACCCTCCCCTCAGCCCCAGACAGCTTCCTTGCTCTATCCCAGTGGGCTCCGGGCGGCTTGTTTAGCAGCAAAACACTTCTTTCCAGCAGAAAGGATCCCCAGTGTATCAAATAGATATGAGCACAGCTTCTCCAGTGGAAATCCTAGGGCTACCCAGAACCCCCTCGATAATTCATTTCCCCAGCTACTCCTAGTTGCACCTCACCCCCTAAGGGAACACTCTATGCCTCCTCCCGATTCCCAGGGACTCTCCATGCCCCCGGGTTTTCTCCCTGCAGCACTCCCAAACTGGATTGACATGCTGTCTTCCCCCACTCGCTTGCTGGCTCCTGGAGATTCATCTCTGCGATCAGGGCCAGCTTGCAGGTCTCGGTGGCTTACATCTGTAATCCCAGAACTTTGGGAGGCCAAGGCAGGTGGATCACCGGAGGTCAGGGGTTCAAGACCAGCCTGGGCAACATGGTGAAACCTCGTCTCTACTAAAAATACAAAAATTAGCCAGGCATGGTGGCACATGCCTATAATCCCAGCTACTTGGGAGGCTAAGGCAGGAGAATCGCTTAAACTCAGGAGGCGGAGGTTGCGGTGAGCAGAGATCACGCCATTGCACTCCAGCCTGGGCAACATGAACAAAATTCCATCTCAAAAAAACAAAAAAAGAGAGAAGTTCTTTGCTCAACTTTTCTCGCTCCATGCAGGCAGACCATCACTCAGACTCCGAGGTCGGACATGTCTGGCTTCAAAACTGGTATATAATAGCTCAGGATCAGGTTTAGATGGAGTGGCTTCTGGTGGCCCTCCTAACCTTCAGCCGAGGGCTGTCAGCCAGAGTCAATAGCCCTGAAGCTCACACGCAGCATGATTACCCCTGCCCCCAGGTCCGCCCAGTGCCCTTCCATGCTTGTCTTGTCCAGAGGCTGAGCAGGCACAAGCAGGTGTCTTGGTCTTCCTTCTTCCCTCCCCTACTCCCCCAGAATCCCTAAGGCAAAATGGTCTGCACATTGTTTAGATAACAATGATTTGCATCCAGAGCCTACTCAGAACTTTATGTTTTACAAAGGTTGTTAAACATGTATACCTTTTGAGGCGGGTGGATCACCTGAGGTCAGGCATTGGAGACCAGCCTGGCCAACAGGACAAAACTTTGTCTCTGCTGAAAATACAAAAATTAGCCAGGCATGGTGGCACACGCCTATAATCCCAGCTACTCGGGAGGCTGAGGGAGGAGAATCACTTGAACCCAGGAGGCAGAGGTTGCAGTGAACCAAGATCCCGCCACTGCACTCCAGCCTGGGCGATAGAATGAGACTCCATCTCAAAACAAAACAAAACAAAATAATATGTGTATATACCTATTATCTCATGTAAGCCTTACTAACCTCCTGTACGTTACGTTTCAGCTTCCTGCTTGCGATGACTATGGCTATTACGTAACAAGTATTACCAAACACACAACCCTCATTCCTCCCTGCATCCCTGAGCCTGTCCCCACACCTCTCCCCACTCTTGCCTTTTATCATCTAGGGTGTCTGTGACTCACATCACTTGGTAATAAAAACTGGCTCACAGGCTCCCACAGCTGTTAGATGTGGCTGTATGAGAAGCGAGCATGTCAAAATTGCTGCAGGAGACTCACCATCGCTAGGACCAGGCCCTTTCTGATGCCAAGTCTAGTAGTACTTCCTTTTCTTTTTTTTTTTT